GTGAACAGGTGGATCAAATTAAGCACATAGCCTTGCGATCTGGATAGACAAACACTGGCAGAAGAACGGGTCGTACTGAAGAGCTTGGTGACTTTAAACGTGGCACTGTCAGTGGAGGCCACTTTTGCCACAAGTCAGTCTGAGAAGTTCCTGCCCTGCTAGATCTGCCCTAGACAACTGTAAGTGCTATTATTGTGAAGTGTCTAGGAGCAACAACAGCTCAGCCACAAAGCGGTAGACCAAGCAAACTCACACAGTGGGGCCACCGAATGCTGAAGCGCACAGTGCCCAGTATCCTCTGTTGAGTTTTTCACTACAGTTACAAACTGCCTCTGGAAGCAACATCAGCAAAAGAACGGTGCATCAGGAGCTGAGCAGCTGCACACAAGCCTAAGATCAAAATGCACAAAGCCAGACGGCAGGGAGATGCACAAATGGTTAAATGGTTCTTTGCATAATGAAATAATTCATCAAACTGGTGGAGAATGTGTTACAAAATCTTTCTGAATATGGTTCTATATAGCACCAAAAAGGGTTCTTCTATTGTTACAAGATTCACATTTGGTGCTTTATAGAACCACTTCTATGAAGTGTAAGTGTGAGAAAAGCAGTTACACTTCCATCATTAAAATTTAGTAACTAATTCCTAATGTAACTTTGCTGACCATCTGTTCTGCTCTGTGATTGGTCACTATGCTAGCTGTTGAAGCTTATCACTTTATTTTAGTCTGGCAGTGCTTATGCTGATGGTGGATGTTCAAAGCAGTCCCACCAAAGATCTAAACATCACTCAGTATGTACTTCCACTGATTTTTCAAATTTCCAGCATATTTCACAGGTTAACATGTAGTTTGGTGTGAAACAGCAGTGCCCATGGGGGCAGTCATGAGCTGGAGGTTAGGGAACCGGCCCTGTGACCAGGTCGCCGGTTCGACCCCCAGAGCCAACAGGACATGGCTGAAGTGCCCCTGAGCAAGGCACCTAACCCCCAACTGCTCCCCGGGCCCTACGGATAGGGCTGTCCACAGCTCTGGGCAAGTGTGCTGACTGCCCCCTAGTGTATGTGTTCACTAGTGCGTATGTGATAATTCACTGCAGGATGGGTTAAATGTGGAGGTGAAGTTTCCCCATTGCGGGATTAATTAGGGTCACTTTATCTAATCTAATTATAGACAAACTGGAGCTCTTTACAGTGGTAGTGATGGTAACCAGGAATCGCCATGTCTGCAATGCAAACATTTATTTGCTGTCCAAAACTGCCAGTGAACCTACACGTCTTCCAAGCTTTTGTACGCAATATTGATGATGATAAAAATAGTGTTATTATAATAGTGTAATTTGAGTATTATTTTGCCTTGCAGTGCCCTGCATGTATCCCTCCACCATAAATGGATTGAAATGTGTGTGAGGCCAAAACCTTAAAAAGACATTGCAAAATAATACCCCAGACACCAGACAGCATTTTGACTGAGGCTGAATTTTAGCTCAGTAATCAGATTTCTGAGTGCATGTGAACTCTTACTCTGATTTCTTTCGTATTTCTCAGTCTGAGCATGTGTGAAAACAGACGACGTTACCAGAAATAAGTGAGCAGCGTTGCCGCGAGACGCAGCAAAACCCTTTTGGAGCAACGCTGAAACCAAATACATGCTTGACAAAATGAATGATTTAAATATTCTTCATCTTCTGGATGATGTATGTTGATACTTTCAGGTAAAGTGACTCAATGTTTTAAAAAAAAGCCACAGCTATGAAGTTTGAGTTTTACGTTACGTTTACGTCACGTCTTCTTCTGTGACTTTATTGGCTGGTTGCAAAGCAGAAATCTGATTACTGTCTGACTCATGTAGACCTGGGGTTTCTCCATTATCTGATAACTAAAGTGTATGTAAAAGCATTGTTGGGATTACTGACAGCATCTGATTTTCTGCAGTTATCGGATTATTAAGTGCATGTAAACGCATTCAGTATTTACATCTTCACCATTTAATAATGCAGACTTTAAAAAAAAAAAAAAAATCAATGGAATTCCTTTTTAAGTGTTGTTGGTCTGTTACTTTTGTACGATTCAAGTTGTTTTTGGAAAGGTGCCTTTATGTTTTCTTGAGTCATTAATTCACAGTAGTAGCAATACTGTTACTTAAGTACAGGTTAAATCTACTCAACCCATCTCAGCTATTATTGCAGTTCTCTTGTTCTGTATGTTTCATGGACGTGTTTAACATCCAGCTCAAAGACCCCCCAGCCAGTCCCCATTTTACCTGTGCTCAATACACCTGAGGCAGCTAATCAGCACTGCCTGTTCTGCAGCCTTGGATCACCTGCCTCAGGTGTGTTTGGAACTGAGTTGGAACGAAAATATGGACTGGGTGGACAGAACTGAACTCTTACACACGCTTTTTTTACCACCAAATTTCAGTCCGTTCCAAACTCAAAATCTGATTCTGTCACTGAATCTCAATAGAAAACATCTCAAGTCTGTTTGTTTAAGCTGTGCTGTAGTTTGTATGCGTGATGTCTGGATTCAGGTGCACTGTTCTCGGCTGATTGAAAGACATGTAGTGACACGTCCCCCTTCAAAAACAACGGTATCCCATAGGATGCTGAGATACTGTAGCAGAGCCTATTATGGTGCTGCGCGGCACGAGTGACGCATGCGCAGTGGTGAAAAGGCCCTGAAGCGCACACTTACTGAGAACACCGGTGCATGTTGATCTCAATTAAATCAAGCCCCTCAGCGTTTCGCGTAAGCTTGTCACTGTGAGGGCAAATCACATCCCTCAAGCGTGCCAGCTGCTCCTGCACGGCTCCTTTCTTTCTCATCTGATTCACTTGTATTTGAAAGACTAAAAGGAAGCATGTTTAACATAGATGTTAACTTGTTTATGCCATTTTTAGCTGATAAAAAACAGGAATTAGGAAATTTAATAAAAGAAAGTCTCAGTAAGTTTTGGCCTATGAAATGCATGTGGGCTAGTTTAGGATATAGGCTAGTGTGGGACAGACACTGTCTATCCTATACTGACCAACACCCAATATTACCTAATACACTGTCCCATATTTCCTAACACACTTTCTGTCAATTACTGTCATAATACACTCATCATGTAATCATATAATCCCCAACACGCTGTCCAATAACGCATAAAACGTTGCCCCGCATTACCAAACAAACTGCCCTATAACACCTACTACACTGTCCCATAATATTTAACACTGTTCCATTTTTCCTTACACACTGTCCCTTAATCCCCAAGACACTGTTCCATATTACCTAACAAACTGTCCCATATTTCCTAATACACTGTCCCATAATACTCAACAGACTATCACTTAATGCCTAACACTCTTGTCTCCTAATACCCAACATGTTGCCTCATATTTTCCAATGCTCTGTCCCATTATACCCAACACATTGTCCCATTATACCCAACACATTGTCCCATTGTACCCAACACATTGGTAAGGCACTGTCCTATTATACCAAACACACTGTCTCATATTTACTAATACACTGTCCCATAATACCCAACACATTCCAATATTACCTAACACATGTCCTATATTACCCACCACGCTGTCCCATTTTACCTAGCACGCTAATACCTGACACACTGTCCCGTATTTCTTAGCACACTGCACCATAACACCTGACACACTGTCCCATATTACTTAATACATTGTCCCATAATACCCAACACACTGTCCCATCCTACCTATTATATTGTCCCATAACACCCAACATTTTCCCATATTAACTAACACTGTCCTATATTACCCAGCACACTGTCCCATTTTACCTAACACACTAATACCTAAGACACTGTCCCATATTACCTAATACATTGTCCCATAATACCCAACACACTGTTCCATCCTACTTATTATATTGTTCCATAATACCCAACACACTCTCACATTACCTAACACACTGTCCTATATTATTTAAAACATTGTCTCATATTTCCCAACACACTGCGCCATAACACCTGACACACTGTCCCATAATACCCAACACACTGTCTCATCTTACCTGTTACATTGTCCCATAATGTCTCACTATATGCAACACACTGTCCTACATTAACTTACACACTGCCCCATAATACCCACTTTAAGGGGCAGTGTATAAGGTAGTATGTGAGTATGCCACATTTCTCTGTCCTATAGTACCTAACACTGTCCTGTAATACCTAACACTGTCCTATAATACCCAGCACACTGTCTATAACACCAAACACACTGTCCCATAATAATTAACACTATAATATATTACCTGATGTCCGACAATATCTGAATAACCTTCATAATTTAAATCTTTTGAGCTCTTATAAAAGTATATACAGGCTTAAAAAGGATGTTTTTTCAGCGGTTCTTTAGTAAAGGTAATGGTTCTATTTAGAACCATGAGTTCTATACAGAACCATTTGCATGCTTAAATGGTTCTTTGCATGGTGAAACGGTTCTCCAGATGGATGGAGAATGTGTTGTGCATGGTTCTATATAGAACCTTATTGAAAATGGTTCTGCTAGTGTGACAATATCAAGCTTGTAACAGTAGAAGAACCCTTTCTGGTGTTATATAGAACCATTTTCCAAAGGTTACTTACACATTCTCTATCACTCTGAAGAGCCATTTTACCATGCAGAGAACCATTTAAGCAAGGAATGGTTCTGTATAGAACTAATGGTTCTAACTAGAACCATTGCCTATACTAAAGAACCCCTAAAGAAGCATAGTTTTTAGGTGTGTACATTAATGCACAATGACTAATGAGTAGGGTTATAAGTGAGCACACACTTATTCCTGAGTAAATACATTGCCTATGTTTTTCTCCAGCCCTGACATGAGAGGATACATGTCTGATTTGTCTTATGCAACCCACTGAGGTCCCCTGAGACGTGATGGGGAGTGAAGCGTTAGTAACAGCAGCGCCGGTACATTTCCAAACACCTGTAGAGAGAGACATACATGTTTTACTGCAACCTCTCCGACTAAAATGGCAATAACTGGATTTCCTGCCAAATATGGGCTGCTGTTGGGACTTTGTGTGGCGTGGCTGTGTTACGCGTCCACTGCGGGAGAGGCCACCTGCAAACTGAAGGCCACGTTCAACCTCAGCGGCTACAAGAAGGTAGAGAAGAAGAAAGTGATTATAGGGGGGATGTTCGCCGTGCACAACCGGCTGGCTTCGACCGACAACAGCACATCATCCGTGCCTGTGTCGTCTGGCTGTGAGGGGTAAGATACATCCAGTACAGTTATGCTGCGAATGATATGGAAGACCGGCATGATTTGAGGGGATGAAGACTGCGTAACTGTTACATTAGCAAAAATGTAGTAGTTTTAAATGACTTATTTATCCATTTACATCAATGAAATCTATAAAAAAGTTAAAGGGAACTTGTTGCAGTGCAGTAATCCATTTGCAACCCAAAGGCAAAGTGTGACAGGCAGCCTGTTAAAGCTTTATAGGTCAAGTCAAGGCACTGATTGTCATCCTCAGCGGTGCTGTCTGTTCTCAGACTGTTACAGCTAATTTGATATAATAATCAACTGTGCCACAGGAATCAATTAAATTGATCCCACTGGGAGACCTTATCTATTACAGACCCATCAAAGGAAATGGGTCTTTGTCAATGTCAGTGGTCACCACCCCTGCTTGAGATTCAATTCCAAACAAAAGCTGTGGAAATGCTCCAGCTGATGAATATGAATGTCTTTATAAGATCTTGATTGGCTGGAGCAGGGGTGTTGAAGTTGGTGGAGCGACAGAGGGTGGGTCCACTGAGTTAGATATGGGTTGGAACTGACCTGCTGAGAGTTGGTGACTGGCCTACTGCATTGTGCTTTTATTGTGTTGTAGTGACATCTAGTGGCACAACTATGGCTATGGCGCACTGTCTGGTAGGCCAGATATTCTTCTTGCTTTATGACACCTGATTCAGCTCCAGGACTTTTTTCGGAAGGTCCAGAAGGTCGTTTGCTGATGATGTGGCTCTGATAGGTGCTGGAAAAAGCATCATGTTCACTGACATAATGTCAAACTCCAATAACGTTCATTAAAACAATGCTCTACAGACTGATACAGTTGTCCATTGTGAAAATGATTATATTTGGTTTTAAATGTGAACTTTCTTTAACTCAAGCAACAAAAACTCAAAAAAAACTTCAATAACATAAACATAAAGTAAGCCACTTACATATAACCTTACAACTTCACCTAAAATAGAAAAATAGCATGAACTCTTAAAATACATAAGCAAAATCACCTCACCAATTATAACTGCTTTTATTTTGTATAATGCAACATTTCGATTAGCGGACAGACTCACTGCTTTATCGGCAGGATTTCTATCAAAGCAGATAAACTTGTAGAAACATAAAGAGGAGTTCCAGCAATTGTCTCAGAATTTCTGCATAATTAAATGGCTACAGTCACTCGGTGTGGTCAGATGTGAAATGCTTTGCTCACAGTGGTGGTGACTGGAACCAGACGCCTGAAGAGTTTAATGCCTCCCACACCAAAAGATATTACATGAAATTGTCATTCATAAGTTCCCTGATGCCTGAAATAGTTTTACTATATAAAGTTTTGAAATAAGATTCAATGTTGTCAACAATACATATAAAAACTCATGTCACTGGTGTCACTGGTGGTCTTCCATAGTAAATTTAATGCCTATATTTGTGCTGTAGACATTATGACCCCTGGTTCCTATCACCACCACTGTAAAAAAAAATCCACTCTTTCACTGGAACATGGCATTTCATATCAAAACACTCTGAATGATTTTGTTTACATCTCTATGACTGAATTATGGGGAAGAAATTTTGTTGGAGTTCCCCTTTAATGTTGTGCAATTGATGTATTGGCTGAATCCTCTTATGGAGTCAACCTTTGGGCTCTGTCAGTGGACTGTATTGACCTCCTCATCTTCCCTCCACACAGGTTTAACTTCCGTACCTTCCGCTGGACCCAGACGATGCTCTTCGCCATCAACGAGATCAACAACAGTTCCAAACTGCTGCCCAACACTGACCTAGGCTACGTCATCTACGACTCCTGCTTCACCATCTCAAAGGCGGTGGAGGGCACTCTGACGTACCTGACAGGGCAGGACTACGCCGTGCCCAACTACCGCTGTGGGAACGGGGCTCCTCTGGCCGCGCTGGTGGGGGCCGGAGGCTGTGACCTGTCCATCGCCACAGCTCGAATCCTGGGCCTCTACTATTTCCCACAGGCAGGGTCTCTGCTTTGAGTCTGACCTTTTCAGTGTAACCATTTGCAATTATTTGAGTTATTTTAGTTGGTCTTATATTTTCGAGGTAGGCTACAGTGACCCGAATAGCAAAGTTACACAACGAGCCGAGACAGATTTGGTGTCTGAAGTTAGCTTCTTTAGTTTAGCACTGGAGCTATAAGGCTACCATAGGCTTGCTAAAAGCTAATTGAGGTATATGGCCATAAATCAGCATTGTGAAAACTTCGTCACACACATTACCACACACTTCAAACTGCTTTGAGTGGTTGTAACCTCAAATAGACTTGATTATGTGGTTTCTGCTGATATATAGAAGTACAACAAAAGTGCATCACATAGCCAAAAACATTAGCAGCATCTTGAAGCCTAAAACATTAGCAGCATCTTGAATACAAAATTTTTATATGTACTTTTGTGCATTTTTAAATATCATTGTATTTAAGAATGTACAGTACATGAAGTTCAGTACATGTCATGTACTACATTTTGGTTAAACAGACACCAAAACAAAAATATTAGCACAGCTATCTGCTACATCTGCTAGCCAAAAGTGGTGCCATATTAGACTCTGGGTAGAAATTTTCTGATTTAAGATTAGAAAAAGCCCCTTCTGGTTATTTGTCTTGAAGGTGGGAGGACATTTTTCTGCTTTGGGACTGATTTTTTAAGGGGAAGCTGTTTCAAACTTTTTTTTTCTCCTTTTTTCCGTTAGCTGGTGGATGCAGAGGACCGGTGGATAGCTAATGTTACTGCTAGCAGCTGAATATCTTTTTGCAGCTATATTAACTATTTCAAACCTTTACAATGGATTACTGAAGTGAAATGATTTGCTAGATGAGAACGACAACAAGCTAAAAGCTAAAGTGAGCAAGATAGCTGGCTATCTACGTATCTTAGCCCAGGTTGGCTTTTTTTCTCTAGCTGAAAGGGCAAAAACGTTCTCACTAGCATCTGTTTTGTGTTGAATAAAGATAGGATTGCTGTTTTCTTTTGAGGATTTTGTTCCATACTAAATTGCTAAATTTCCTTCGGGATCAATAAAGTATCTATCTATCTATCTATCTATCTATCTATCTATCTATCTATCTATCTATCTAATGCTAGCTTGGCTGAATTTATTAGATAATAGATCAGTGCTAGGCTAGTAGTCAGGATTGGGTGACACTGACGTAATACATGCCAGGGATTGTAGTGAGAGAACACTGACTGATATAAAAAAAACGAGAACATGAAAATGATTTAATTGTAAATTCTGACAAACGGATAAGGGACGAGGGATATAAGCCTGCGCTACAAACTACTGCACACCGTGGGAAATAACATGTTAAAAACTAGATTTAATCCGTCTGCATCTCTGCTGTCTCAGGTGAGTTACTCGTCTTCGTGCTCGGTGCTGGAGAGCCGGTTCCAGTACCCCACGTTCCTGCGCACCATCCCAAGTGACGAGCACCAGTCGGTGGCCATGGCCCAGCTGGTGCTGCGCTTCGGTTGGACGTGGGTGGGCACCATCGCGGCGGACGACGACTACGGCAAGTATGGCATCAAACGTTTCAAGGAGATAGTGGAGGAGGCGGGCGTGTGCATTTCCTTCGCAGAGACACTGCCCAAGCTCACCTCGCCCGAGAGCATCCAGCGCATCGTGCGTGCTGTGACCGACTCCACAGCCAAGATCGTGGTGGTGTTCTCCTCGGACGTAGACCTGAGCCCTCTAGTGGAGGAGCTGCTGCGCAACAATGTCACTAACCGTACCTGGATTGCCAGCGAGTCTTGGGTCACATCGGCCCTTATTGCCCGTCAACCCAACATCATGTCCGTGCTGGGCGGCACCCTGGGCTTCGCCATCCAGCGGGCCGAAATCCCGGGCCTGCAGGAGCACCTGCTTGGCATTGACCCCTACCAGGACACGCTGACTGAGGAATTTTGGGAGACAGCCTTCAACTGCACGCTCAGTTACAGCCAAGCACTGAGAAATGCCCGGGCGGCCAGGGAGGCAGGGAACGCCACGGCTTCAAAAGTGTCCACCAGGGCGGTGGTAGAAGGCTTGTGCAATGGCAAGGAAAGTCTGGAGAAGCTGAACAGCACATACTCAGATGTGTCCCAGCTGAGACTAACCTATAACGTGTATAAAGCTGTGTATGCGGTGGCGTATGCTTTGCATAATCTCGAGCACTGTGAGCCTGGGAGTGGACCTTTTGAAGGTGGTACATGTGCCAACATCAGTAATTTTGAACCTTGGCAGGTGAGTGTGCACACGACCAAACACACACGCATACAAGCCAAAAGTTTGAAGGCAACACTTCACAACATGTTCATTAACTATGCTTGGGTAGGGTAATGGTTATAAGTTATGCCCATTAAAATTGATGCTGTTTAAAGATTATACAGGATTTCAAAATTATGACATTTCATAGGTCAGTTTCACGTCTGAACAGCCAAATAAACATATTCCACTCATTGATATTTTAGAGGGCTCACTGATTGGTGGTGTGGCAGCTCACTGATAGGTGGCGCTGATAGAAAAAGGGAAAATATAAGCCAGGAAAAACCTCAGAAAAACTAAGCGTAATAGGTTCTCCAGAACTCGTTGGATGTGCCATCAGATAACCACTGAACGGGTGTGAGCTTAGCATCGGTTAGCTGGAACCAAGCCTGTGGTGTGTGGCACATTTAGCCTGCTAACTAAGCTATCGTTAGCCAAAATGCTACAGCCCCAGTCACCACCAAAGACGTTCAGTTTCGGCTTTAACTCGAGCACCAGTCACTCCACTTCGCGCTCTCATTTTTGCTGTTCTGTCTCTTCAACGTCAGTTGCTCGACTTCACTCCCTCAGATTTGAATTATTAAAATCTAAACTTTAGTTAGCCAGAATTGAACGTTCTGTGGAGACCAGCGCTGTTATCATGCTAGCAAAGCTAATGCTCACCATCTCAACTGTCTTAGTTAGCTAAATGTTCAACATTTAGAAGGTGTTTGAACGATTCATTGAATGATGGCTTAAAAATAATACATTTTGAAATAACGCAGGACGAGGTGGCAGAAAAGCGGAAAAAAGGTTTTGACATGACTTATGACGCCCCAAACCCCTCACCACACCCACGCCCACGCCCACCCACACCCGCCAGTCCAGCTTTAGACGGTATGAAGGTGTGGAACAAGTAGATACCCACCTAACTGACATCTAAAACACTCCATAGATTTGCGATGAGGTACTCCTAGCAGAGTCTAACAGAGTCTAACAGACCCTCATATAGAGCAGTAAATTAATTGATTCTTTACAAAATCCCAATTTAACACACTCGTTTGTGTTAATCAAGCCTTCAGTATGAACTTGATTTTTCAAAACACTTGCAGTTGTTGAGATGTTAACAAAGTCATTCAAAGTGGTTCGATGTGAAACGGTTCACTGACTCAGATTTCTTTACAGGGTCTCGCAACACTGATCATGTATCTCTCTGCCATAAATGTATCTTAAAAAATGTACTTTAAGCCAAAATCTTATCAAAACTATAATAAAAACAATGTCTTAGACATCTGGCAGTGTACTTATAACAGTTTGTGTGAGGGAGCTTATTAAGATACATTAAACTCCTCAGATATCTCATTCCTATCAGCACTACTGTAAACAATTCTGATTCTGTCAGTTTCACAGTATCAGTATTTCACAAACACTCTGAATGACTTTATTAACATCGTACTGATTTAATTATGCACAAATTTTGAAAAAACAGTGGAATTCCCCTGTCAGGAGCATCTGAACTGAGAATCAGGTAGTGTGATTAGAGGTGCAGGAGAATCAGCAGAAGCAAAACGAATTAAAAATAATTTTAATCCAATAAAGAAGCAAATCAAATTAAAAACCAGACTTTTCTTTTATGTTAATAAACATATTATATTACATTTTCATCACTTCTTTCACAAAGTTTGACCTCATATCTGCATCATATCTGTGCGGCCTGTTCTAACACAGAGATTCGTGTCTTGACATTGTTCCCCTCCTCCAGCTGATGTACTACTTGAAAAATCTGCGCTTCAATGTTCCTCACACTGGAGAGGAGATATTCTTCAACGATGGCGAAGTGATGGGATATTATGAGATCCTTAACTGGCAGACGGCTTCAGATGGGGGCGTGACGTACACCTCTATCGGCTACTACAACAGCACGGCGCCCGCTGGTGAAAGGCTGTTCATTGACAACACCTCGATCATTTGGCATAACGACATGGTGGAGGTGGGTGAGCTCATTATGTCCATTTTGAAAAGTATTATATTATGATATTAGTATATGATCATACACCGATCAGGCATAACATAATGACCACCTCCTTGTTTCTACGCTCATTGTCCATTTTATCAGCTCCACTTACTATATAGGTGCACTTTGTAGTTCTACAGTTACAGACTGTAGTCCATCTGTTTCTCTGCTACTTTGTTAGCCCCCTTTTACCCTGTTCTTCAGTGGTCAGGACCCCCATGGACCCTCACAGAGCAGGTACTATTTGGGTGGTAGATCATTCTCAGCACTGCAGTAACACTGACGTGGTGGTGGTGTGTTAGTATGTGTTGCGCTGGTCTGAGTGGATCAGACACAGCAGTGCTGCTGGAGTTTTTAAACACTGTGTCCACTCACTGTCCACTCTATTAGACACGCCTACCTTGTCAGTCCACCTTGTAGATGTAAAGTCAGAGATGATAGCTCACAGGACGCTGCCCACAGGACGCTGTTGGCTGGATATTTTTGGTTGGTGGACTATTCTCAGTCCAGCAGTGACACTGAGGTGTTTAAAAAGTCCAGCAGCACTGCTGTGTCTGATCCACTCAAAATGATCCACCACCCAAATAGTACCTGCTCTGTGAGAGGGTCCATGGGGGTCCTGACCACCGAAGAGCAGGGTAAAAGGGGGCTAACAAAGTATCAGAGAAACAGATGGACTACAGTCTGTAACTGTAGAACTACAAAGTGCACCTATATAGTAAGTGGAGCTGATAAAATGGACAATGAGCGTAGAAACGAGGAGGTGGTCATAATGTTATGCCTGATCGTTGTATTTCACTGTAAATAATTGATATTTTGTAGCCTCTTGCTGCAGACCTCCTAGTGGTCAATCCAAAAGAAAAATGTAAATGGACCAGAACTTTTTAATCAATATAGTCAAATAAAACATTGTTCGCTGTAACTCTGTTATCAGATTAACTAAGACACTGCTGTCTCTCTGTGTGTGAAATGTTGAGCTGCTAGTGAGCAATGAGGAGCGAAAGGAGGTGCTAAAACTGAGATAAAATGCAGAGTAGCTTTCTTCATAAACCAGTCATCTGACTTAATAAACAAATAACATTTAAACACAATAGAAGCAGGGGCATCTCTAGAGGTTCATGGATAGGGGGGTTAAGCCTGTACTAGGGGAGGTCTGGGGGCATTGACTTACAACGAATGAAGTCTGATATGATTGGCTGAATGTTACGTTAGTCTATCTCTGGTAGCACAGTAGAAACAGCGCTGCTTTAGAGCAGCAGCAGCGCCTCCCCCCAGGTCACGCTTTGCTATGACAGTATGTTGTGAATGAGAATAAACTATAGATGACTTGGTATGTACATTTTCTGAGGAAAGGGGCTGAATAACAAAAAATGGAAGTATACAGCACACAGATGTGCCTGAAATATGTTTATTGGCCAAAACCTTTCTCGTTTTTTGTTGTGTTCAATGCACAGAAAAACGATTTGCTCTTTGTCTCCCCCTGCTGTTGGATTGCAGGCCCCGCGCTCTGTGTGCAGTGAGAGATGCCAACCCGGAACCAGAATGGGCATCAGGCAGGGGGAGCCCGTCTGCTGCTTCGACTGCATCCCCTGCGCGGATGGAGAGATCTCCAACACTACAGGTCAGGTGCCTCTATTTACTGCCATGTGTTTGTTTGTATATGTGCATGTTTTACTACAGTGTAAAAAATTGATCTTGGTTTCCTCATTAGCTGGGATGTTGTTACCCAGTCCCACAGTGCATTTTCTCCTCTTGGACTTCCAGATATGGACAGCTGTGGGATCCCTTGGATTCAAACTCACAACCTCCTGATGCTAGTGTGAATTCATAGACCACATCACTACATTCCTTCGTAAAAAAACTTTTTTTTTTTAAACTGTATTAAACATTTAATAACACAGAGCTTGTGACTGATGCAATGGACTAAGAAATCATCCCCACCAGGAGGTTGTGAGTTTGAACCCCAGTGATGCCACAGCTGTAGGCCTAATAAGAGAGAAACATCTTTCAATGTCTTAAATGAGAGCTAGGAGAACTAAGACTAGAACTAAACTAAGATGTTTGAGTTGGGTGAACTTTAGTGCCCTCAAGTTGTGCTCAAGGTAATTCTCTTTCTGTACGTTATATGCTCAATACCAAAAAATGAAAAGGCAAAATTCCTGAAACTATTAGTTGGATCATTTCCTTTAGATGCTGAGATGTTTCACCAATATGTAATTTCCCACATCTTCCATACTGCAATAAACAGATTTAATTTCAGCAAATTGGTGCAATACACATCATTTGATTGTCCATTTGAAGCTCCTGTGCTCCTTCTAACAGACGCCAGAGGTTGCATCCAGTGCGAAGAGGACTATTGGTCCAATGCTAACCGTGATGCCTGCGTCCCAAAGACCATCGAGTTCCTGGACTTCGGCGAGGCTCTGGGCATCACCCTGATCGTCATCGCTGTTTTCGGGGCACTTTTGACTTTCATGGTGGTTGTCGTCTTCATGATGTACCTGAACACGCCTTTGGTGCAGGTCAACGACCCGTTGCTCAGCTTCACTCTGCTGCTGGGGCTGGTGGTCACCTTCCTGTGCTCCATTGTGTTCCTAGGGAAGCCTCAACCGTGGTCCTGCATGACCAGCCAGGTGGCGCTGGCAGTAGGCTTCGCCATCGTCCTCTCCTCTCTCATGGGCAAATCCGCCTTGCTAATGCTCAGGGCGAGGGCTATAAAGGCCACCAAAGCTGCAGCCAAGGCTGCCAAAGCAGCGGCGGCTGCTTCCGAGCAGAGCCCAGACACGACCGCCATTGCTCCGGCGCCACCACCGAAAAACGACATCGACCCGATAAAGCCCGTCCACCAGAGGGTGATGATGGCGGTATCTACGCTAATCCAAGCTGTGGCTTGCACTGTCTGGTTGATCCTACTCCCACCACATCCCGTGAAAAACACAGCGGCCCAGAACATCAAGATAATCCTGGAGTGCGACCCGGGCAACATCATCTTCATCTGCTGCGTGTTCGGCTATGACGTCCTGCTAGCGCTCCTGGCCTTCGTCTTCGCCTTTGTGGCACGCAAGCTGGAGGACCACTTCAGCGAGGGCAAGTGTGTGACCTTCGGGATGCTGGTCTTCTTCATCGTCTGGATCTCCTTCGTACCCGCCTACCTGAGCACGCGCGGCAAGTTCATGGTGGCCGTGCAGATCTTCGCCATCCTGGCGTCCAGCTTCGGCCTCCTGATGTGCGTCTTCCTTCCCAAATGTTATGTGCTGCTGGTCAAACCTGAAAGGAACACGCAGGAGATGATGATTCCCAGGGCCAAGTCCCGCGACTCCAGGGCCACCGGGACATCCGCTTCCCTCTCAACAGAAACAAACGGCACCACCATCTCCACAGTATCCCTGAACGACTGAGGGTCCATCATCATATTCTTACACAAAAGTTCAGTGAAGCTGTATTTCTACGTCTAATATCTGGGACCTCATTTAGTCACCATGATAGAGAATTAAACACATAAAACAATCGTAGGACGGGACGTAAACAAAAGAAAACGCCTCAGGAAAAGGTGTTTGAAATGACCAGGTTCTTCTCAGGGATGATGAAATGGTACCACACACCCTAAATGTTTGAATCACTTTAAAGTAAGATAAACAAAGCAATCCAGCAGAGCCTTTAGGTCCATCTAATTTCCCACCTTCTCCTTTGTTCTGTACAAGCGACACTATAGTTTTACTTTTTCTATTGTATTTACTGGATTATATTTTTATGAAACAAATGTAAACAATGGTAGACAAACTTATTCAAATGTAATTATGCTACTGATTTCCATTTGTACACTATAGCAGTACAGTAAAATTCTGTAGATCCATAAAGTACTGCAACATTTAATCCACATATAAAAAATTGAGGGTTGCATTTAATTGCGTATTATTTTATTTTGTTATTTGTGTGATTTGTTTTGCCTCAGTCTTTTCACTATCGAGAAAAAAATAAAATGATATTGGCAAAATCTCCTCCCTTCATCAAATGGATTGTTTAATTCAAAGCAGTGTGTAGTGGATTGTGCATTTCACTTTAGGTCTATACTGAGTAACTGAGTTTTTAAACACCTCAGTGTCACTGCTGGACTGAGAACAGTCCACCAACCAAAAATATCCAGCCAACAGCGTCCTGTGGGCAGCGTCCTGTGAGCTATCATCTCTGACTTTACATCTACAAGGTGGACCGACAAGGTAGGAGTGTCTAATAGAGTGGACAGTGAGTGGACACAGTGTTTAAAAACTCCAGCAGCACTGCTGTGTCTGATCCACTCGTACCAGCACAACACACACTAACACACCACCACCACATCAGAGTTACTGCAGTGCTGAGAATGATCCACCACCCAAATAGTACCTGCTCTGTGAGGGTCCATGGGGGTCCTGACCACTGAAGAACAGGGTAAAAGGGGGCTAACAAAGTATGCAGAGAAACAGATGGACTACAGTCTGTAACTGTAGAACTACAAAACTACTACTAAACCAAACTGCCTCAGTACTAAGAACACTTAAAAATGTTTGTACTGATTTTATACTTACATAAAAGTTTGTCAGTTTCATTTAAAATTCCTTAAAATAATTGGGGCTGACAAATTTTAAGTTCATTGAACATCAGATTGTAAGTTAAGAGAATAACAATCTGTGTCTTACATTCTGTTATGTCAACTTCATAAACTTCAATTTACTTTGTTACATAATCTTTTTAATTTAAAACAACAAATCTTTTTGATAATGTATTAAACATTAGGGGTGGAGTTTTGATAAATATAGACCGTTCTACCAATTTAGTTCAAACTGTGGTCCAACAGTAAAAAAATAAATAAATAAATAAAACAATTAAGTATTCAGACCTTAGATATTTATACATATTAGATATCATAATTTATTAAAACCCAAGGCATTAATTCAGATCGTAACTCTAACCCATAAATAATACTTTTTTTCAGTTTTTTTTTAAGTATCTTTTTGATTTCTTTTAAGAGGAAGTTGAAATATTTTGATTTATCAATTTTCATTTGTAAATTGAAGTAAAAAAAAACGTTCTCTTGTGTTTTCACGTCACTATCGAAACACAGAGTTTTAGGCTGTAGGCGGAGCCTTATTTTAACCACACCCCTGCATTTTAGATCAGGAAGTAAAGCTGCATCCCTGCAGTCAGATCCCCTAGTTTTGTTTGTTAATGTGTTCCAAATGTCTGAAAATCAGTGTGGAGTATTAAAAATTGTCACTACCGAAACTGCTTTTTTTGCTCTTCAGCTTTTTTTGCATTTTAATGAACAATTTTATTATTTTATGTGTGTACAACTGTTCCAAGCTATGTTTGCTAGTCATGTACTGGCTAGTGTTTTTGAGTTCAGCTCAAATTTGGCAAACAATTGGCTAAAATTGTCTCTAGCAAAGTTTCAGAGGGGTATTATTGTACCAATATTGACAAATATTATTGACAATATTTTCAACTCAGACTTTAAACCAATTCAGTATAACACATGACATGACGCATAATGCTATTTGACAAAAGAATAGAGTTTCTAGCTAAATAATAATCTGTCCCACATTTTTAAGTCACTACCGAAACACAGTTTTAGTCCGGAGGCGAGACCTTATTTTACCCACAGCCTTAGAACAGTTTAAAGTGGTGGTGATAGGAACCAAACCTCTGAAGAGTTTATTATTTATTGTTCTCTAAAAAGTTCCCTGACTAAAAATGATTACATGAAGTGTTTATACATACATATATATATATATATGTATATACGTTTTTCGGTTGTTGACATAGTTTGAAAACGCCTGTTGCTCTTTACATTGTGTGTAAATTTTATGACATATGGACCAAAAGAAATGGTCCAAAATGACTTGAACAAAAATTCTGGTTCCATTGACTTACATTAAAAGTAAAGTATGTTTTTTCCTTCTCCTGTAAAGTTACCATTTTGGGAATACGAGGTCTTCTAATAACAG